GCGGTGGCCCCGGTGTCGCCCGTCCCCTCGCCGCGCTCACCCATGCGCAGCCCGTGCGCCGAGAGCGCCCGCCGGCAGCCCCTGCTGCACCGCTCCAAGTCAGACCTGAGCGACCGCTACTCGCGTGCCACCGCCGACCTCGAGCGCTTCTTCAACTACTGCGGGCTGGACCCCGAGGAGCTGCAGAGCCTGGGCGCCGAGCGCTTTGCCCGCGCCGCCTCCGACATCGTCTCTGTGAAGCTGCCCAGCGGCAGCACGGCGAGCTCGGAGGGCGGCCGCTCGCCGTGCAGCGGCGCCAGCCCCGTGGGGCGCCCGCCCGAGCGCATGCCCTATGGCATCTCCATCGTGGAGCGCAATGCCCGCGTCATCAAGTGGCTCTACGGGCTGCGCCAAGCCCGCGAGCCCCAGAAGGTCTCCAATGTCTAGTGGGACGGGTAGGAGGCCTCAGGACTCTTGGAGGACTCTCGGAGGTTGGACTGGACTAGGCATGTGGAGGTTCCACCGGGAGGTTGAATCTGAGCTCTCTGTTGTGCAACCGCCCACGTTTCTATCCCTCTTTTTATACACCGGCAAGGAACACGCCCCCCGGGAGCTGCCACGCTATGTCCTGTTATTTATGAAGATGCTCCCGTCAGTCCCTTCCTTGTTCCTGCTGTTTCTGCTGAAGTTTGAGCTGTGAAAGCACTGCCCGACGCGGGGGGAAGGCAGCCAGCTATTAAAGTGCTGTGCTCAGCAGCAGTGTGCGTGGCTCTCTGTGCGGCCGGGGGGATTCCAGGGGTCCCTCACAGGGAATTCTTACCTCCAACCTGTCCTGGCAGGGTGGGCGCTCACAGAACCCCTGGGCACCAGGGCAGTGCAGGTGCAATGAGGGTCCCTTTTGAGCTGCAGGGGAGTGTGGCAGCTCGGCATCCGCAGGCAGCAGCTCCTCCAGCCCCATGCGCAGGGTGTTTCACCTGCCAGGAATGCTCTGCGGGAACCAGATCCCATGTGGGATAACACTCCGGCTGTGCTGGCGCCGGAACTGGCTGTGCTGCTGGATTCCTCAGTGGGGCTTGATCTAAATTTACTTGCACTGGGCAAGAGGAGGGGGCTCCGGTCCTGTGCAGGGTGGGATGCACAACACAAGCTGGGCTTGGTTGTCCAAAGGCCTGTGCATTTGAGTGTGCGCATGCATGTGTGTGCATGCAAGCATGTCTGCATGCATGAGCACATGCACACCTATCTGTATGTGCATGTGCATCTGCACAAGCACGCAGCAAAATATGCATGTGTGCACACCAAGGCATGCCCGAGGGCAAGTGCGTGCCCCATGTGCTGCTTCTCAGCCCTGCACTCACGCGTGCTGCCTGCGTTGACTGCTGGCCTTGCCCTGCACTGCAGGGCCTGGAATGGACCCTGCGAGCCCCCCTTGTCCCTG